TAGCCACATACTCTGTTTGTTTGCTTACAAGTGTCATTCATGTGCTCCCTACCTCCTGGAGAACAAAGTGGAGGCTACAAATGAATAATAAGTCTTGATAACCTTTACCAACTTCAAAAAAGGTTGGGTTTTCCTTTTCCATCAGGGAATTTTTTAATGTTTTGCTCCAATGCAAATTGACAATCACTTAAAACCAACCAACCTCAAGAAAACAATTTTCTTTTTTTTTCCTTGAAGACTACCAGTAAGTACCTGTATCACCTACTTATTATTTTTATGAATTTTAGCAGTACTTTCACAGTACAGCTTCTCAAACACAGAACAAAGCATTATAGATACAGTTTGTAGTTTCTAGCAAACAAGAAACCATCTTTAATGTCAGCTCTGTCCCTTGATATTAACTCTCATACTCAACATTTCGTAAGTGGTACCAAGTGCACCAAAACCAATGTAATAAATCCCCTTAATTTTCAGACCAGCTAACATGACTGCTGTGAAAGAAATATAGCAATCACTTATCATAAACACATTTCATATTATAAGAAAAATGTTGACTTTTTCAAGTAAGTTGTGGAAGATATTCAAGTGATGGGAAGAACGTGGAACCATCTACCAAATGCGATTTTGAACAAATGTCCACTGAATAAGAAAAGAAGTCAACATACCCTATAGTGAGAACTGAAATACTGACAGTTTCTCAACAGCTCACTAGTCTAAGTTGCTTCACAGGAACGTAACTCTTTCTTTTTTTAAAAAAAAAATCACTATTATATTGGAGAAAGGTAATACTTTTGGTTTTAACAAGAGTCTTATCTTTTCCAAACAGAGTAGCCAAATAGGATAGCAAAGCAGGGAGCAACCTCCCTTTCACCTTTTCACACAGAGGGCAGAGTGAGAAAGCCTGGAGGCGTTGCTCTCCTTTGTGCCCCCAGAGCAGCAGGTTTTTTTCAAACTGCTTTCCCAAAAGTTTGGGCTGTAGGCAGAAAATGTGGAAGGCAGAATAAGCGTTGACCTTCTATAGGTCTAAAAACAGTTTTGGCATAACACAAGAAAGCATCAATTCACAGTGCTTTCTACTATAGTCTCTCTTCTCCATAGTCTTACACACCAATTCTACAGCTATGCATGCATGCATTTAGTAGGACTCTGCTCACAAACTTTTTCAAGATACTTTTGGTTGCTGCTTAGCATTGCTTTGAGTACTTGGTAGAATAATTCATAAAGATCTTCCATAATAAAAGTCAGATTATCCTTGTTCTTTTTTTCAGAAAAATGAAAGACAGACATTGATAAGGACTTTGAGGACTTAGATCAAGAGGCTTAAAGTAAGCAGAAATTCTATTCTTCATTAAGTCGCCACAAAGCAGCCTCAGATGGCAACTAAGCTAACCGTCAGAAAGCTACTCTTGGCCTAGCTAAGGATTCAAACCTACACACAAAGACCTCCATTTAGGATCAGATTCTCCTGACAATTAAAAACCAAGGAAAAACTCCACTAAAATTCAAGTAAAGCACTGCAGTTTCATTTTGTGGTAACAGACCATCATTTAATCCTGCACTAACCTAGTTACCTGGCATGGTAATTTCTTCAGTTTAGTTTTAAAAAAAAAAAAAAAAAGTCTTCCTCATATGCACCAGGCCAAAGGTGGGTGTGTGGATTTAAGGCTAGCTGGAATATTTTCCAAATAATTTCTCAATAGTCATTTTTACTTTTTGAGAGAAAGAAAACATCAAATGCTTAGAAAATTAATTATTAATATATATTAGATGTTTAAGAAGTTCCTTTTCATTTGACATAGCTGAAGACCCTACGCACACTTCCTAACTCTAGACATTTGACAAACTAATACGCAAGTTCACTATATAGCCCATGGATCTTTGAAGGACAATTCTTAGCACTATAATTGTAAGCCTCCCTGCCTCCATTAACTTGAAAGGACGCCTAGGCTTCTAACTTAATATGGCATTGCACAAGGAGGCAAAGTAGTTCTAGTATCTATTGCCAAAAGTGAAGAAAATCTGCATTCTCCGTACTCCCTTCTTCTCATCTCATGTCCAAGATTGCTGTTTTACCTTCTCCCTTGCACTAGCATTACCAGGCCCATTTTATGACCTGATTTAATTCATGAACACAACAGAGGTCTAGACATTTATGCATTTATTTTGCTAGTTTAACAAATCCATGGCTGTCATTGCTGTGAGCCAGATCACACAACTGTGTGTTGGTATCCCTCAGGAAACCATCCTTTGATTACTTCCTCAGTGTCACAGGGGAACACATTAGCTTGTAGGACTATTCCCTACAAAGAGTCACAGCATAGGGCCCACAGTGCTTCCAAAACTTTCCTGCAAGGTCCAAGATTTCAAGAGCAAAAAGGCAAAGCTGCTACCAGAATACACTGCCAGAGGACAGATATCCCAATCTCACTTCTAGCCAACCCACAGAAAGATCTTCAAACAGGTATTAATGAGTGGCATCTGGACCCCAAAGCACATTTACTGTTTAAAACATCCTAGGACCCAGGAAAGTAGTGTTTCTGCTTTGCCTGCTTCTAGAACTTGAGCAGTAATAAAAATGAAAATGCCTTATCCATTTCCACGGATCTGTAAAATTTGGACTTTGATAGGTATTTCTAGTACACTCACTCTTAAAACTACAACCGTTCCCATGTCAGCATCAGGGCAAAGGAGACAGAATCCAGGAATTCACCATGAGATACTACCCCAGGGTGGTAATGAGAATTTGTGGAACAAACTCAGCACCACCTACGAAGGAGAACTGGGATGAATATAACAAAATCATGCACAAAGCTGGCCACAGAACAGATTACCAAACAACTCGCTGTAATCCCTACAGATAGCTTGCTTAATAAAATAGGCTTGAGAAAATAATAGAGGCAAAACAAGCCAACAAATCCCACAGCCGTGGCTCGGTTGTTCAATCGCCGGGCTGCAGCACCACCTCGTGGAAGCCTTGCCATCCCGCAGCCACGGCGCCTTCCCTGCGTGCAAAAATGCTGTCCCCTCCGATCTTTGGTTCCTAATCAAGCAACCCATTAGCTACCTCTGTAAGCAGATAAGGAGCCAAGCAATCTTAAATTAGCCAAGTTCGTATCGCACTCTCAAAACTGGTTCCTCCGCCTTGGAAGAGCAGATACTGTAGCCCTTGTTTTCAGGGTGGCAGGTGAGAACCAACATCCTTCAGTTATGAACACCTATTTCAACATGCACTCAATAGTCCAGCATAACTAGTAAATAACTAGGATATAGCCCAACACAGAGATGAGTGAATAAAATACAAAGAAACATGAATTTTAACTCCTAAGCTATACAGTAACCCCAAAGTGTGTGTTCTAGCAAACATAAAATATTCTCAGCATCAAAACATTCTTTGAGCAATGGTGCCAGAGCATCAGATGCAATCCCCAGGAATGACAGTAAAGACATCGACTGCAGGGTTCCAGGTAACAAAAAGCAACAGAAAATATACAGCGCAAACATTTGAAATGTTTTCTATAAGTACACAGAGGAATTGAAATTAAATTAGAAAGTCCCATAGATATTAAGCTATTTTAAGAATGCACACAATTAAGTACTTTAAGTGTTATTCCATAGGAATTTAATCTTTTGGACCACAAACCTTATGCTTCTAAACACTAGACACTACTCGCTTTTAAACCAAACAGAACAATACCATAGACTTCAAAAAAGGTCAAATTCCGTTAACAAGAATCAAAATCAGGAAAAAAAAATAGCTAAACCCTTTAATGCAGTTTGACTGCTTCTAAAAAAACAAATCCCAAAGCAAATCCCCTCAAGTGGCTAATAAAAAAAAAAAACACACTAATAAAACTTCTTTCATGAAGATTTGAGATCTGTTACTTCAATACCAAGTGCTAATAAGCAGCAGCTTTTGCTTCTTTTAGACAATAATTCCTTAAACCTACAGCATTTTATTTATCTCAGAACTAGAAAGGATGACTTGCTATACTTGATCGAGATGTGAAGAATACTTTAAGATCAACTTTGGCCCTTTTGGATTCTACAGAGTATCAAAAAACCCAGAAATTTCTTTAACAAAATAAGTGGAAGGGAAAAAATAAAGTATCTATTTCAACTATCAGCAAGAAAACATCCTTAAAGTGCTGTAACAAATTTTCTTCAAAGCTGTTGGAACATCACAGGAAAAGGACAATCCTGCAGCAAAATCCTTAAACTATGACCCATGCAAGAGACCATATTGCATACCAGGACCCCTTAAAAAAGGGAAGGAGAGTCACGCCCTTACAACCATACAAGATGGAATCATTTGTTCCATGTGTTCACTTTCTTATATGCGCAGAGAAGTAAGGAAATGCCACATTTTTCTCAGAATAGCTATGAGCTGAGTCTAATACTAAAATAAAAATAAAAAACACAACAAAAAGCAGGACTTTATGTGCTTTGCACCTATACCTTGCATGTTAAATGTATTTTGCCCAAGCATTCGAGACCTTTGTTTCGCCCAATAAGTAAGAAGTATTATTTCAAATTTACTTCTCACTTGAATGAGAGTAATTAAAAGCCAGACCACTGAAAGCAGAAATAATGAAAGGGCCAGGCCTGTAAATTCCAGCTTTCTTCTTCCCTTTCCCATCCTAAATTTATTTTAAAAATTTCTTCTGTACACACAGCATCCTTCCAGAATGTTTTGGGAACCAAAGCAGATGACAAATTGCATCACTATTTGAAGCCACAACAGCTACTTTTAAATAGACCACATCTCAGCTACACAAGGCCCAACACAGCCATTATTCATGCATTAATGCAATATTGCCTCAGTACAAGTTGGCTTCACAGGAAAAGAAATACACCAGTAATTCTGAACATGGCAAAATATTATTAACTACCAGTATTCTTCTATATTAATTTTAATGGTTATGTTGGGTAGGGAAGGTAGAACTTAAAAAGCTTCCTCAGATCTCTTGACCAAAATTCAAGAAGTCATACTAATCATATACCTGTGCTTGTACTTGCAAACAAAGTGCCAGGAGCTGTACTTGTAGGGAGTTTTCCATTATTTAGCTGCTTCACCCTTTTCAGGTGGGACTTCCCATTGTAATGAACTTGAGCTTGTGCTGCAGAGTTCAGCTGTATATTGCATACTTCACAGAAGGAAAATAGTATCTTCTTTTTTTCTTTGCTTAATTGATACTCCTGTCTGTCACTCCTCAGTCCTTTTTCTTCAAATCCTCGTAGAACAGCTGGTTGATTCATAATCCCATCTTCAAAGACGTGGTCAGGACTTAATGGACGCTTCATACCTACAAAGCAAAAAGACAAAATTGTTACCAGAAGCCAGCTAATAATGCTTACTACTAAATCAGCATTTTAAAAAAGAAAATGCTATACAACATGAACCAAAGACCAGTTCCAACAAATAAGGTTCCAAATTGCAGAGGTGCTGCTTAATAGAGAAACAGATGCATTTGTGACACACTGCAGAGCTCAGAAATAATAGCTTGGTAATATATCATAGTCTGCACTCAACAGCAACTCACAACAATTCATTTTGTTCTGTAAGCTCTCTGTTTTAAAGCAGTTTTATTACTGCATCTCTAGCAGAGGTTAAGATTATTTTCAAATACATTTCCTCCACCGCACTAAACACTGGTTCCAGAGCTTTTCACTTTCCTATGCCCATAGCAGTACCCACTGCCCCAAATACAATTATTTGACAAAAAGGATGCCAACAAGACATGCTACTGAAACACTAGAAGACAGCAGACTGTTCAAGTGAGACTAATTAATACTTTCTACTTTTATATACACCCAAATCTTCAGCCTTCATACAAGTGTTAAGATGTTGTCTACAGTAGTCCATCAATAGCTTCACTTATTAAAACTATTATACAGAGAAGTGTCAGCTAGAAGTTAGTCATGTGGGAGCTACATAAATACACAGTAAATGACAGTCCCTGGACAACAACTGAAATACGCACTTTGTCCCTAGAGAATAAAAAGCTCATCATGACAAATGAACCAGATCTTTGTGAGCATCTACCTCCCTGTTAGGCAGGAGGAATGAGAGACCCCACACCTCCACACACACAAAAAACCCCACAAAAGCAATTGTAGCAATCCTCCCCAAAACAATGTAGTATTCACAAGCAATACTAGAATACTCCTCTCACTATCCAGACAAGTATATTGCCAGGAGAAAGTCTGGTTCTTTGGCACAGGTATCTAAATGGAATCAACTTCAATAATAGGTTATTTTAAGAGTCATTTATATGGTGGGATGGAGCATTTCATCACATTCCTAAATCTAGCCCATGCTTAGAATTTTAGTATTTGTACAAATTCCTCCTCAAGCATGGTTCACCAATCAAGTATTCTAAATAGAGTTCATAGATGTAGTCATATATTTGTTTCATATAACTGACAGTAGTCATCAAATAAACAAAAAATAAACAGTACATTTATTAAGATACACATTATATCAAATATTAAAACAAAAATAATTATTAAAAATAATTGTAGGGTCCAAGTACCTAATTGCTTTTAAAAACAAAATACTAGTGATCCTGAAAACCTAGGCTAGACACTGTCACACTGAATCATTTAAGCGTAAGTATCATATTTCAAGGCAAACAACCAAGATCCTCAACTTGGCTGAGCTTAGATGACATTTTCATCTGAAAATTTAATCTGCTTAGAGCTTTGGTATTCGTTACTTTTCAATGCATTTTTAAAACCATAAATAACTCCCTTTGTTTTCTGTATATTTTTATTTCAACAGCACTGTTGTAGATTTTGTTCCCTGAAGCAAAAGGTTTGGAAAAGAAAGTCTTTTTATATTAGTTTTAGATGCTATAAACATAAAACCATAATTATTTAATAATAAAGTAGGCAAAAGTTTAAAAATTCTGACTTGTCAGAAACGTTGTAAGTTAGATTGCAGAAAGCAAATAATAATTCAAAACATAATTCAGGAATTATTTCAATAATCTGTAAGATCTTAATGAAAGCCATTTTGGATACATTTAAAAGTGGCAGAGGCGAATATCTGCATTAGGAAGCGGCTTGGACCAGAAGGCAGACTGATGTAGCAGGCAGCTGCTGCTGAGTGCCTGTAACATCACCAGAACCTTTCAAAGGGGGCTTATTCTGGAAAGCACCAGCTTGGTACCATATTAGCCCATTATCACTGCAGCATGAGATACACACACTCCTGGACTGCATGTTTTGGTTTACTTTCACTGAAAGGAAAGAAACCTTTCCGTTGGTAAAGTCCAAGACTTCTGAAATATGAATCAAATCAGGGTTAATGAGGAAAATCAGAACACTTGCCTCGGAAGTGCACTCCTGTGCACTCCTTATGTAACCAAAAATGCTTTTCATATGGACACACCCAGAAAGAACAACTGAGTGTACTAAGGACTCAGACACCATACCGACACCCTAAGGCAGCATCCTAGCTGCCAGCCTAGAATGAAAATCAACCTTCAGACAAACAAAAGGAAACCTGTCCAAATTTCACTTTTGTTTTTACAAACAGGGTAGTTTTAAATTCACTTTTACTACAAAGTACTGTCTTCGTTGCATTAACACAGGACAAATGAGTCCTTAAAGCAATCTCTTGCTACTAATTTAAGAAGTAAAAACCACAAGCTGAAATTTTAAAATAACCCTGATTGCCTAAAGCTCTGCATCTAAATTAAAAGGTGACCTGATTATAAGCAGCACTGACCTCCCAACAACTGCGGGGAGCAGCAGATGCAAAGCACTTTTGAAAAAATACCTATATTCAGCACCTTAAACCTTCACTTTAGGAGGGCTTGCAGTGGCATACTCTGACCAGTCCAACCCTGGAGAGGACCTGTACATGCAGCCAGAGACCAAACCACGCTGGTCCTCAGAAGTCTACCTGTTCATACACAGAAAACCCAGCCTTCATCTTCCTGAGATTTAAGAGACCTGAACATTTGGTACAGCAAATCATCTGTGTTTTGAAAGCCTGGTCCAGTCCCTTCTTAAGTGTTTAAGAAGAAAATGTTGGTGGCAAACATCCACCGAGATTTTACAGTATGCATATGTTTCACACAGTAATACAGCTTTTACCATAACTCATCACTTCTTGTGGTGTATGTATTTGTTGAAAAAATAAAAAATTATTACATTAAAGGTCCCATTTGTACTTAAAATTCTGACTCCTTCCTTTCCTCTTTAAAGTTAGGGTTGGAAAAACATACCTTTAAAAATCTCTGCTGAAATGTCCTGGCCCTAGAATACGTAGAAGTAGTACAACTCTGCATTGAGTCAGTGTCAAGCATCTCACCATGAATGCAATTTATTTTGTAAGAGGTAACCTTTCATTAGAAGGCTATCTGAATGCTTTATACTCTTAGGAGAGAAACTTGTACATACACATTAAATCGTAATAAAAAAAAAAAACCAACACAAACTACAAAAAGAAAAATTTGAGCACTCTTCCTATTCTCTACATTTCCTATTTACTCAAATTTATGCAAGCAAGCATCTGGCATGCATCTTTTTCTTTTTCCTTCAAAAAGAGCTTTTCACTGCAGACAGATTTTGAAGAGTTCTGGATGGTACTTATTCTCACTCACCCCCAGTCAGATATGAAATTGCGCCATTTCGTTCCTCAGGCTTATACATAGCTCAATAACATTATCATGTAACAGAAGCAGCTACTTGAGACTACAGTCAGTGAACTGAGAATAAAGAGAAGTTACACGATCATTATATTCTGAGGAATCAAAAAAAAAATTAGAGTAAGAGTTATAGATGGAATTGTGAAGTATTTAGAAGTAGGTTTAAATCTTAAAAACAAGAATATGAGTTCATTAAAAGGGAGAAAGGATGGAAATTATCATATGAAGAAGATAAAACAGATCAATCCTGTGAGCTCCCACTTTTGTATAACCTGGATACAGCACAGTATGAGCCAAGTCTCAGCAGCAGCTGATCCACAACAATATTCACAAATTAAAATGTCCCACAGAAAAAGAACATGATTCTGTGAATCATACTGGAGTGACACACACGTTGCAAAGGTAGTGCCATGTCACTGTAGTTGTATTTACTCAATGACTTACAAGACTAGACCCAATTAAAAATTGAAAGGTGAGAACATAAAAACAAGGAAAAAAAAAAAAACAGGAAACAAAGAAGAGCATCCAAGCATGTTAGAAAACATCCAGCTGAAATGATCCAGAAAAATGTGAGTCCATAAAGGGATTGTATGCCATATTCATCTTTTACAGGTACTTGAAAGTCTGCTTCTTTTTCTTGCAAAGGTAAGTTCTGATTCAAACCAGATATACTTATTTTTACTTTGATCAAAATCATAAGAGGAAGCACTGCAAGTATAAGAGCTTTTCAGGTATTTGACATAAGCTATTACCAGACTAAACAAGTTGTCCTCCCATTATGTTTCCTCCCCAGTACACAGAACTGATCTACCTGAATAGATTCTGCAAGCAATACTGGAGCAAGAATAAATTAGTGATTTATGACACCACATTAAAATTCTTAGGTGTCATGAGATACCCTGTTAGGATTTCTGGAACCACATCTTCTCAGCCTCTTACAGCTGGCAAAGAAATCTAAGTGTGGACATGCTTTGTACTCAAAGCTCAAGGCAATTAGCCTTTCAATTCAGCTAATTTACTTTTAAACAGACCTGTGCTTTCAGAAGAGCCACAAAGAAGTATTATATATAGTACGCTGCTGTACGTGAGAATGTGCAAATCTTTAGTCAAAGGAAATAAGCTTTGGTTATCCTAAAAATTAGTGATGGTTACATGAAGCATTCTCTTCCTGAGTGCTGGTCTAAACTTTTAGAATGCCGATTCCTAATGAATTGATACTTCAAAGAACCACTATGCTGGAAATGTAATTAGGCTGCCATCCCTCAGTGGATCTGTGCCAGGTAAGCAAAACAGAAAACGTATTTTAACAACTTACATATGGGCAAAGAGAATTTTCTCCTTTGGAGAAATTTCGCCTTTGGAAATAATCAAATGAGTTACAGAAGACACAGAAACAAATACAAAAGTTAACAGGCTTTCTATATTGCTACATTTCCAGATATGTTAATTCAGTCAACTGGCAGGGGCAGGAGGGGAGAGAAAGAGAGACACCCCAGACTGAGCCTTGATCCGTACACCTCTTAAGAACCTCCTATGGGGAAAAACTATCTATGCAGATGGACCAGTGAAGTCTGCATGCATGCCTTAAGAGCTGTGGTCTTGCACTGCAGCAAGTTTGATTCCATAGTTCCTCACCTCTGCCAT